AGCATACGCCGCTATCTAGTTGTTTTATTTTCTACTTATCAACAATTCATAATTTGTGAATTCGACACTACCCCACCCACCCCCCTACCCACCATGCCCAGTGAAAGCAGCTGTTTCTGGGCGACATTGAAAAATATCAAGCATAACTTATCTCCCCTTAGTTTCAAATCATTTAAAAACTAAATTATCTGCCCCTGATAGCCGTCACTTATTCCAACGGGTTCTACTATTGTAAACATTCCGGGTGAAACACAGCTCACCTGACAGGTGGCTAAGCTGCGTGGTGTATTCAATGGTCTCCATGAAGAGAATTATATAGATAATATTGAAAATCACCAAAACTTTGTTTTTAGGGTAAGAAATACCAAAGCTATATTTTTTTTTTTTACTGTTGTAATAGTGAGTAAATCATTAAATAACAATTTGGAGGTATATAAAATCAAAGCCTGCTAAACTAATACATAAATAGTCTGTATCATTTCAGCTTGCTTAGTAATCCAAATTAGAGATTATTGTATAATCAACTACAGTATGTCTGTTCCTATAACTCATAGTGAGGGTGTACATGTCTGTAAATATTAGCACTAATAGTAATAGTAGGCAGTGTGTAGGTTTCATTGAATGCTCTGCTTAATCTATGAATATATATATTTATATATATATATATATATATATATATATATATATATATATATATATATAAATGAAAGTATGTGGGCGGATGTGTGCGTCCTTTATGCATTGCTTCACCTTTCATCTGACACTTGAAGCTTTGGGAGATAAGAATGTTCCTAGGGAGATTTCTGCATAGAAAAAAAATTAAATTTCTGAGGGGTGGAGGCTGCTAGGCTGAGATTTGGCACATCAGGCACAATTGTTTTAAGGTGCAATATGCTATGTATGCATTTGGGTCAGGCGCGCCCCAGGTGTGAGCACTCTGGCACCTATATTAGTTTTAAAGAGTACCATATAATAGGACACTGGCTCACAGCTTTTGATGATTAAACTAATTTACATTTAAATAACTCAGTTTTAGAAAACAAGGTCATGCATTGATAAAATTCTCTTACTGTTGCATCAGCCTGCAGTAATGTGTGGGATGCTGACGTCTTGCTAAAGAAATTCAAAACTTTAACATTTTTTATCACTGACATTGCTTTTCTCTTAAACAGATCTACGGGTGGGTACCTGCTGTATGGAAAGAAGGAGAGGTCAATTCAGTTGCAAGGGTACCGGGTAATGTGAAATCTGCATACACACCTGATCGTATCTGGGTAGATTGCCATGGAGAGGTGAGCTTCTAGTCAGATTAATACATTTTTTGCAGTGTAATATTTCTCAATAGTCCCTCATTTTTTTATTAAATATTTTTCAGAATGCCCCTGACAATGATAACTTAGGTGCTGCTGAAGACATTAGTTATTTTCCTGAGCAAGGATTCCCCCTGGCGTTTTACCCTTACAAAAATCAAAAAGACTACAGATCACCCCTTGTTTTTGTCAAGTTCAATACTGTGGTTCATCATGTTGGAATCATGGTTGAATGTGTAGCCCTGGCAAAAAACATCAATGTTGACCGTACAGAGAAAGAAGGCAGTGTGCATTTTGAGTTGCTTGTGGAGTCCTAGTTCTGCTCACTTGATGGTTGTTTTTGTCTCTAGTCTTTTCTTGAAAATTTAAAGTACCCTTCTTTGACAGCCTTTTGCCCTTATGTACTGCCATTCATTTAAAAAAAATGGTTTCTTGCAGTTTTTGTCATTTGCACATGAGTTTAGTTTTTTTTTAAAGTAGTAAATGAATGAAATCCTGTGCTATCTACTTGAAAAATAATTTGAAGTCTCTTGTTTCTGTTATTTTGTGTCAGTTTCTTGTTAAATGAGTAAATATATCAAATATATTCTCAAAACCTATAGACCAGATCTGAAAATTGAGTTTTTTTGGATTATGCATTCATCTCTCACTTATTGGTATGCACAAATCTGATTTAAGCTTTTTAAAATATTAGAATAGGGACTCTGCTCCAATGATGTTGTTCCTCTTGCTGTATTAAAGGCTTTACACTATCCTCATTGGTACACTCATAACCTTTTATGAGGGTGTGTTGTGTGAATGCATAGTCTAGTAGTTCTGTTGCGTGGGTAAAAAAAAGTAAATAAAAGTTCTCACAGTTCACATTTTGCATTTTTATACTGTATATTTAAGGTGTGAATGCTTATTTAGTTTTTTAACCAGATGAATGCATTTCCTATTACAATTTATTTTTTAAAAATTGTTTTTATAGTCGGAATTTTCTACACAATAAAGATTTTTACGAAGCACTGTGATTTTGTTACTTCTTATACAGACAATTAAATAGCTATCATTTTGAATTCTGGTGTATTGTTAAACACTTTATTAACTGTTAGTCTGCAGGTAAGTTTTAGATAGACCCTGCTTAGGAGTAAGTGAAATGGGAACTCAAGGTTCCTGCTTTCTATAATTTAATGGTGAAATACCTTAGTTGCTTGACACATTTGTTGCATGAAGATACAAAAGGTTTCTTGTTGCTTGTTCAATGTAAGTAAATATAAAGAAAATAACCCTGCATTCTTGTGGCTGTCACTTAATTTTCATTTTAATATGATTATATAGAGTATTAGCAAAATTGCCATCATTGTTGGTTCATTATCTATTTGCCATATTAGTTTTATAATTCTGTGGAAATTTTATACATTTTTAGAATTGTCCAGGTTAGTATAAGAAATCTGCATGCATTTAGATATTGTTCCTCTATGAATGGAGTAAAGTGATTTTGCTTCCTCACTTAGCCCAATAGAAAACACGCTTACTTTTTAAATTGAATTGTTGTAGGGCAAAAAATTTTTTTTTATTCATAGTTAATGGTGCTATTATTTACAGCAATCATGGGTTTTTCACTATTTTGTTCGTACATTGATGCCCTTTAAGAGAATAAATCATATTTTAATTTACTGAATAGATATTTATTACTTTAATCATGATTGATTCTTGTCAATTGCTATATATCTTGATGAATTGCTGAACGGTTTATAGGACCAGCAAAAATCAGGTGTCCTATAAAACTTTACACTCTGAAGTAAGATGGTCCAACATCAATTTGTTTGGTAGCTTAAACTACTTAATCATCACACAAGCTGACTGCCTAACAGGAAGTTTTGTTGAAAAATGTCCTTGCAAATTACATGTAAACAGGGTCCTCGCATCCTCCTGAAATTTCATGATGTCCTGAAATTGGATTCACGTTTGAGGGTGCCTTTTTTCCGGGCATTCTATAATCTAGATAACCAGATATGACCGCTCATGTAAAAAAAATATTCTGCTTATACTACTTACTATTACCACTAGGCATGTGCTAAAATATAGACCTATAGCCTGAGTCCCGGCGGGTTTGGTTAAAAAAAATTTCTCACATTTTCCTCAAAGTGCGGTCATTTTGGTAGGCCTGAGGTTTTTTTGTTTGTTTTTTTTTAATTGGAGATTTAAAGTAGTCTAGGCCTAAATCAAGTGCAGGTAATTTTGAAAGGCCTGAAGTTACTTTTAGAAAAAAATGAAATTTCAAGTAGCCCAGGTCTAAATCAAGTGAGGGTAAGTTATATTATGATAGGCCTGATTTTTTTTTTTTTAAATTGAAAATTTCAAGTAGTCTAGATCTAAATCGTGTACTTTTAGCAAAGCTAATTCGAATCCTTGTTCGATAGGCCCTTTACCTAGATCTTTCTATTTTCACAACCAGCATATCAGCTTCTCTTTCTCTCAATCAGATGGGACCTATACGTGACCCGCTAGCAAAATAAAAGTGATGTCATCACCAATCTCAAATAGCATTTTTTTTCACCCTATGACGTATACTACAGGCCAACTGTAAGCTTAGGTGAACTCAGTGACCCCGTGACCGTGTCATATTTGGGGGAGAAATAAGCTACCGCAATTATTTTAATATGTTAATATGAGGTTACTTATCAAAATAACTATTTCGGTCACAAATGTTTTGTATTTTCAAGTATTATTTCCCTAAAAGCGGCTGGTTGAAAATGTATTGTAGGCTCAATTTGATTTCAGCTGTTCAGGTTGATCTCATTTCATTGTGCATCACATGATAAAAAGTTAAAAATTACAGTAAAGCCATTTAGATCTACTGTTGAAGACTTCCGAAATCATGATACCATGTCCATTGGTAAAAGAAAAACATGGTTTCATCTGTTCTGTTTGTTTATGATTGACATTGTCTGGATGGAAGCTGACATTTGTGTGGGGGAGGGGTGTGTTAAGTCTTTTGACACTAGGATATGGCTATGATTGCTAGGCCCAATAAGTAAGTAGCAAAGGCCTATATTATTTGTACTAAGTTAATTAACTCTATTTCATTAATCATTTAATGGAAAACAAGTCCAAACAGGTAGTTAACAGGTTAAATTAATTTGTTGCTGAAAAAAGTTAATTTATTATTATTAAAACTGTAAAAGAGAGAATGGTGTTATTTTTAATAGTCTGGTGACATCTCTGTTGAATTGTCTTTAGCTAGAGTGGGGCAGGGGGCTGGAAGTATGTGATGGATATGTTACAACAGGTCTACTGTTGTGGAGAGGGGGGGGTGTCAAGCTTAAATCATGGACAGTGAGTAAATGTATAAGAAATGTAATCTGTAAAAGATAATCTACTTTAACTGAACTAAATGGTTTAGAAACAGTCACTTTTAAAATTACAAATGCTATGCTACATAACATTCATAAAGACTCCTTTCATATATTATAAATATCAAATTTCTTTCCATTCAGTTACAGCGCTGGTTGCATCATTGTTGCTTTTTAAATGTTAAATTATTTTCTGAAATTTCGGTTTTTCTCCTGGAACTCTCCTGGAATTTCAGGTTCACTTTGGTACAGAGACCATGACTGTAAAGTGCTTAGTTGTATTCAATTTCTAGGTTTTATTTTTTTTTTTATCAGAATGAATGGCATAATGTTTTTCAATTAATTTCCTCAGCCGAAATCAGTCTTTTCTACCTGGTATATTATGCTTGTCTTGCTGGATTCTTTGCTGCAACTATTGCTGTTTTCTATGAAACTATTGACATAGATAACCCAAGGTTACAAGGAGACAGCAGTTTGTTGAAAGGAAATCCAGGTAACTAACCTATTTGGACCTGCAGCAGGAATTAGAGATGAAATATTGTTCATTTTCTCTTAATCAATATAATAAAATGAAATATTACAGAAAAGATTTAATCATTTTTTCCCCTATGCCTACGTCTTTTATTGTCACATGTTAAAAATTATTTTAAATGAAATGTAAATTGTTTACAATTATCTCACTTTCTGAATACCACAAAACAGACTCCAAAGGTAACTTAAATTTTATTGAGTTTTAGTTTTATAGATTTCAATTACACTTGTTTGTGATACAGGTATGGGTTTCCAGCCTATGCCAGATATTGACACTACACTAATATATGCAAGATCAAGTCCAGAAGCTAATGAAGAGTATGTTAAGAGCATTTCTAAAGTGTTAAAAGGTTAGTATTTACAACACTAACTTTAAATAATGCAAACCTGTAATAAAAGATATATAGATGCTATATGTTTTCTGTAACCTAAATTACAATCCTCTTTCAAAATTTACCATTTCATTATCATTTGGCTGTTCTGAATTCATTTTTTATTGAATCTCTTTTTATTAAGAATATAAAAAAATTTTGGATAATGTTGACTGCACTGGTGTGAACCAGCCTAGACCAGATGAAAACATTGCTTGTAGAGTCAATTATTCTGCACTAACTGAACACTGTAATGAAGAAAATCGATATGGCATGGCTGAGGGAAAACCGTGTATACTTTTGAAACTAAACAAGGTACACTATTTACTTTTTCAGTTTTATAACTTAAAAAGAAAGGATTTTGTAATTAATTCTTTTTGTTTTTTTAATTAGATTTATGGATGGATCCCAAATATGTGGACTGTGGATGAGGCAGTGGAAAGCAGTCGAGTTCCACAAAGCATTAAAGAAAATTACGCTCCGGACCGAATTTGGGTACACTGCCATGGAGAGGTAAAGGAAATATTAAATATTTTATCCCTATCCTAAGACTTCACAGTTACCATTAGGAACCTGATGGCCATTAAGGCAGATTTAGTATAAAAGTTCATGTGTAGTACAGGTGGTTCAGGTAGCATGTCGCTTGCCCGACTTTTTTTTACCATCATCGTGGTAATGATGGCAGCTGAAAACAGCCATACAGTGATTCCTTTTTTTAACGTTTCATTGTCATTTTAGAAACATACTTATAATTGTTATTTTTGCGTATTGTTCAACGATAGCGATCTAGTTTGAACATTGGACGATTAGTGTTTGCAAACTTGCTATTGGTGCATTTTTTTGGCCTAACCGCTGAGAATATCGAGCAGAATATAAGATAGCAAGACGTTAATTACCGTATGTAAAATTATTGTAAAAACACGCAAACTTGTGCAGTTAGTAGAAAATTATATGTTACGTCCTACTAAACTAATTTCAATAATTGAAACAATTATGCAAAAAAAAACTTCAAAAAGATAACTTTATCAAGACATCAGCCAACTAAGCCTGCCTATTTTGCCTGCTGTGTATTTGAATGGGTAGAAATCTAGCAGACAACACATTTCTGCTGAATTGTCAATGGCGTGACACCAATGTTACGGGTTGTTTGGAGGCTCGATTAGAATAGGTTAGACTAGAATCATCTAGAACTTATGGGGGGAATGCATCTGTGAGTTGAGTTGACCCCATGTGTAGTTACGCCCGGTGTGTTTATGTAGTTATCCCAAGGTCGAGCACAGGTATAAAAGCAGGAGTGAATTAATGTAAGGGGCTGGCTAGGGTTGAGGGCTTGTAGTGTAATGATAAAGATGACAAAAGTTAAATAAAGGTTTGAACAATGTCTTGAATTGTGTTTTGAGTTGTATGAAATGTCGGTCATGACAAGTAACACCATAAAAACGAACCAATCACACTCAAGACCTTTGTGTTTGCTGTCTAGCGCCGCTATTGTGAAATGACCTCTCTTAATCAACACTAATTCTTTGGGTTTGTAATAAAGCTTTTCACCCCACAGGTTTAAACTAGTCAGATTAACTTTAAAAAAAAATAGCCTTCAATTACTTTACAAAAGATATTAAACACTGGTTTCCATTTTCAGAACCCTGGTGATAATGACAATATGGGAGCAACTAAAGATATTGTGTACTACCCTCAACAAGGCTTTCCTCTGGCTTTTTATCCTTACAAAAAACAAAGGGACTACAGATCACCTCTTGTTTTTGTCAAGTTCAATGCAGTGGTTCATCATGTTGGGATTATGATTGAATGCACAGCTTTGGCTAAAAACATCAATGTTGACAGGTCAGAGAAAGAAGGCAGTGTGCACTTCGAGCTTTTAGTGGAGCCATAGTAGTGGTCTCTTTTACCCAGTGTCGTTGTTTTTTTTTACTTTCACTTAATTTTAATCTCTCTCGCTGCCGTGTATGTTATTTTCTTTAGAAATTAATTTCCGCTGTTTTTTTTTAAAAACTATTTACTTAAATAACTGATGTTATTTATTAAGTTGGTGCACTTATTTTTACAAATACCATTTAATATGGCATCCAGGAACCTAAATTATTTTAAAACCTGATTTCCACAAAACGTAAAAATATTATCAAAAACCTGAAATTTATTTTCTTAGTGTTGTTGTGTGGTAATGTTCTGTTTCATTTGAAGTATGTACATTCTTTTGTTAGTTTCAGATTTGTGCTTGTTTGATGTCTTGTTTTTGTTACTTTTGTCGAGAATAACCCTTCGCTTAACTACACAGTGTAGTTAAAGAGGGAAAATCATCTTCCAATAAGTAAATAATTTTGTATAAACATGTTTTCTGTCTGTTAGAATTTGTTTTACATTTTATTTGTACATGATTTTGTAAGAATGTTATCCAACTGTTATACTTGAATGGGATTAAAATACTGTATCTATAAGCTGTATAAGCTAATAGTAAACAAGGAATCTCAGAGCGCTTTGAATAAAACTGTACCTGTGGTCTACGTATTTCAATAGATATTAATAAATTAGTTCATTTTACATGTTACTAAAGTTGCACATTTTCTAGAATTAGTTGCCTCTTCAATACTTTTTTATATATAATGTTATGCGCTCTAATCTTAGTGTATGTATTATTTTTTTACATATTGCAATGAATTTTAAAAATAGAAAAGAGAATGAATTGTGATGGTCTGGTTGTGAAGTCTGAGCATCGATAATTTTACTTACCAATAAAATTGTTTTAATAATTAAAGCATAACATTCCCTTATTTATTGTATCTTTTTGTTTGGGAGATTTTCATTCAGAAATTGTACTTAAAGCCAACGGTAGCTACTATTAGGTAACCAGTTTTATTTTTCCTAGACAGCTCTTTATTTTTTAAGTTCTAAACATCTTATTGTTCTTGATTCTCGCATTTCTTGTTACTTGTAACTAGGCATAGTTCACCTCTTGAAAGGGCTATTAGCATAATCTACAAGTATTAATCAGATTTATGTCAGGCTTATGTTTCTCTAATATATCCATGAATAGATTTTAACTACTATCTTTTATTATATATTTAAAAAACTGATAAATTTATTTTTTATTATTTCAAGATCTTATATATATATATGCATCTTTTTTTTTTATTTAATATTTTTCCGTTAAATATGTTTTTTTTTTTTTGTTGCTTATTTAAAGTAATGTTTTACGAATTTGTTTGAGAAGTCTAGCATAAGAAGGCATTAATTTGATGATTCATCTGTACATTACCATCTCCAGTTTTGTAGATGTTGAACCATTTATCCTAGAGTTAAATGTTGTTTTGTTTCTATGATTAAGCATGTCAAGTGACACGGATGTACTTGTTTAAATCATTTAGTTGCATTTGAAAAATTGATGATTGGAATAAGCACCAAGGAAAATGGTCCAGTCTATTTTTTTATATACATTTATTTTTAATTTAAAGGTCATACTCTATGCACATGTGCCATTTCATAGTTTAAAACAATGCTTTTTTTTTAAAAACAAAAAAATAATAAAAGCATAGGTTAACTAAGTGAGCAAGTTGTTGTTCTATGTGATAAATATTTTACTCACCAGGTCTATGTACATTAGTTGGCAGATATCTCACAGATATTTTTTATATGTCAATATTTAATTTATTGATAGTAACTTTTTTTTTTACATAACCTGGAAATAATTTTTAACTACCCCAAAATGCTACAGCTCTAAAGCTTTTTAACCTGATTTTTTTCTTTTAAATTCTCAAATTAATTTTTTAAATTTGATATTTTTCAAAGAAATTTTCTCTTCCTGGCTTCAAAAAATAAAATTTCTAGTCTTTTTCCCCAATTTTTCCAGTGTTCTTTTGTGTGTTCATCAATTTAAGCTTTAAGTCATTAGCATAAAATTTCAAATGTTTCTGAAGTTATTAATGTTAAATTAGTCCCATTTTTTTTAAAGTATTATACTTACATATTATACACACTCACTGAAAGAGAACATCACAATAATCTATAAAAAAGCAAATAACCTGTTAAGTGTGTTGACTAGATGTTACAACTATGCTGAATCACCGCTGAGGCACAGAGACCAAGGACGTCCATTCCTAGTCAATGTGCCACCAGCCATATATTGTTCACTGCAATTTTTATCATTACAAAATTGTAATTTTTTTAAATGTGCTAGTTTGTGTTCTAGTGACAGTAAAATAGTCTTCAGTTTTTAAAATGGGACACTTTGTTACTACAGCTAAACCAGTGGTTTGTTTTTTAAAAAGAAATTTTTTATTGTGTGCTGAGTTTACCTCTAATCTTAAAGTAAAATGGGGATATTTAGTACCATTAATAATGGTTTCGGTTTAGTCAGTGTTGAAATAAAATCTAGTTGAACTTACGTTCCAACTAATGCGAAAGGTGACAACGAGAAAAAAAAAACAACTAGATATGGTTCACTCAGGCTTGAGACTAATTATGTGATACATGTTTGCTATACTGTGTGAATGCTGGTCTGTTCCCATATTAGTAGTCATTGCTTGTCGGACTTTTTATTTTTAAATTCAAAAATACAATCAATGTCTACATGAAATAAAACAACTTTCAATTTATAACCGTACTGGGTTTTATTTGTTTGTGTGCATTGATACGAGAGCGCCTACAGTTTGGTTTGGGATAAGTGATGGAGAAGGGTGAATGAAATCAAATGAGGCTGAAAGTGTTGGGTCCACATTGAAGTAGCTTTCGTGAACTAAACAAAAATGTAGCTGCTCATTCTCTACCAAAAGGAATAAATTAATAATCCACAAACGTGATGATACTGCCCTTAAATTTATTTTTCAAGTAAATGTTATTATTTTAACGGTTTTTATTTTTAAGTATCTTTTTCTATCATAACACCGCCCGGAAATTGTTTCAAAATTATGAACCCGGAACGAAACTTAACACATCACTAAAACATTTCCTGTAGCCAAACCTGCAAGCCACATCTTGCTAACAATCACTCACAGAGGTCATGCGTTTATGACGTCCACTCGACGACGGGTCCGTTAAAAAACCGGTTGGGGGGGGGGGGGGGGGAGGAGGGGGAATTCGAGTTCCTGTAGACGTCCACTTGTTGAATTTAATTTAACATAGAAATATTTATGCTGTATGTGAAACAAAAACTTAACCTGCCTATAAATGAATACGCTACTGGTCAAGTTAGTGTGTAAGCTCAGCTGGTAGATAAATCACGATATTAGATAATGTATAGATATGAATTTGCCCTTCCAAAACTGTTTCTGTGACCTCGACATATGAAGAGATGCTGTGGTCAGCACTATGCCCAGCCGCCTTTAGATACTCATCTGAGCTGGGTAGACTTAGGGACGGTCTACTGACTAGAACTTGGATTCGAACTCAACACATTATGTATTCTCCTTTTAATTTTAGGGGTTATTAATAGACATTACAGAAAATAAAAATTCCCTGTATCCAGTGGCGTCACTGAGTTGGGTAACACCCGGTACCTTAACTCATGGCATCCCCTCCTCCCATTTCACCAAAAGCTATATGCACGATATACTAAAACTTAAGTAATTTCAGTGTCACCCCAATCCCGAATAGATTGATCAGTAATAACTTTGCTAATCGATTAAACGAACTGGAAATTTCTCGTTAATATTAGCAACATTTTATTTTGGTGTCACCACCTAAGTTGGTGTCAACTGGTTCGCAACCCCCCCCCCCCCCCCCCCCCCCCGGTCGTGTGACGCTAATGACTATATCAACATGTATTGAAAGATATACAATCTGTGTTCATTGTACAGGGGTAGTGGCGTAACTACCATGTAGCTAAGGTAACTTTTTTCTCGCGGGGGGGGGGGGGGGGGGCACTATTAAAAGTATGTATTTTCTATATAAATTCCATTTCGTTCGGAAAGGGGGGGGGGGGGGGCGGTAGACTTTCTTCGAGGTGGGGGGGGGGGGGAGGGGCGAAGAGATGCCTGGAAGAAACTCTGCCAAGGTGGACAAAGTCCCCGGGGGTTCAAGAGTCCCCTAGCTGTTTACGTAGATAAATCGAGTTCTTGAAACAACTGACTCTCTTTGATAATTAGTTTTAAGCAACTAGTATTGGAAAGAGATGTGTGATCTGGACAATGTTAATTTGTAAAACAAAACCTTTAGAAACGTAACAAGTAATAATTTTTAAAAATCTACTAGTTAAAATTTGAAAGAAAACAAGTATAGTGTGTCAATAGATCCAGGTTCAAAAAGAGTGGGACGGATATAGTCCAGGGGTCGGCAACCTGCGGCTCGCGAGCCGCATGCGGCTCTTTTGATATCAAGATGCGGCTCTCCAGCTCCTTGCACAAATACTAATAATCTTAATTAAAAAAAATATTTGAAATAAAAAAAATGTTAGTGGCTCTTTAAAACCAGGAAAATTTTGAAAATTGTAACTTTTGGCTCTTCCGCTTCAAAAGGTTGCCGACCCCTGATATAGTCGGATATACTAATTGAAACGCCTCAGTTTCATCTGTACAATCTCTAAGAGATAGAGTACGCTCTTATATCAATTTATTTTCAAAATGATTCATGATGGTTAACTTCTATAGCATATATCTTAAAAGTATATTTCATTCTACAAAAAAAAAACAAAGAAATTATTTTGTAGAATAAATAGCAAGCATCTATTTTATACCGGTAAAAGGGTAAAGGTATATTCTTTAACAAAATAAAAGAATTGGAAAGACTTAATTAAATATACAGAACGGGTTTAAAGAAATTTCACTTATTTCCCCTACTTTTGACATCAACTTCTCCCACTACAGCGTATGTTTCGAAGTTTCGGGGGTAACACCCCCTCCCCACAGTATTCTATCACTGGAGAGGAGGGGTGTAAAATTCCAATTTTCTGTTTAAAGATGACCACCATGTTTTTTTTTATATATGCTAAACTTAACACGCCTTGTTCGTGCATGTATGTGATATTTTATGAGACGTGGCTACAATTAGATGCACCAGTGCGATTAACAAAAGTGTTTACTCTATCTAAATGCCCAGCAGTTTTACACATACACACTTTAACATCCGCATCCGCTACAGTTAGTTTACACACATCCGTTCGTACGTCGCCTTAAAAGTACTTATCCTTAGGGATTATGCACAGAGTTTCTTTCAGACATATTCCGGGAGTATCCCCCCTGTATCCCCCCCCTCCACCTCCCAACCAAAATAGAATTTATAGCCTATACAAAATATATTATTCTACCAGTGTCCGCCTTCCGGAAATTTTAAGTGCCCCCCCCCCCCGTCCAGGAAAATAAATGTCTGAAAGAAAACACTGATCAGGCACCTATTATGTAACACGAAATAGATATGGGGGGGGGGGGGCTTATCAGAGTTTCTTCCAGGCATCTCTTCATTTTACCGCCCCCCCCCCCCCCCCCCGAACGAAATGAAATTTATATAATTTATATAGAAAATATATACTTTTAACAGTGTCCGCCCCCCCCGAAGAAAGTCTACCGCCCCCCCCCCCCCCCCCGAAAATTTCTAGTGCCCCCCCCCCCCCCGGAGAAAAAAGTCTGGAAGAAACACTGGGGCTTATCAAGACCAGCGTGTTACATAACTGAGAGGATTATTGAGCAGTGTTATGGTATATAGAACTGCTTTAGATTTTCTAAATGAGATCATCAGATCTTTTTTTTCTTCAATTCTGATGATTAAGTTGATATTGCAAACTTTTTTTTTTTTTGTAAACTCAGAATGTTAACTGCGAGTGTTAACCTTCGCACTACTTAATTATGAATTCTGAAAAAACAAAAATCACCTTTAAAGAAATAATTACTAACCTGATGAGGGTGGGGGGGGGGGGGGGGGGGGGGGGGGGGAGGAGAAAATGTTACATAAAAATACTAACATGTGTCTTCGTTCTTGTGTTGGATATGTGTGTGTGTATGGGGGGGGGGGTATGGACATGTTACAAAAAAATACAGAATTTAATAGGGGGTAGGTAACAAAATTTATTACATTGAATAACGTGTGTACAATTTCTTACACACACCCACTATAGTAAAGACTATAGCTACAGACACACTTTCGCACATGCCCTTGTTTCTTAAACCATACGACCGAAAACCTTACACGAGAAAGTCGAAGCAATGTCATACAATGAACGTGTCAAAATTGTAATTGGGCCATTTGTGTAGAAACAGCCGGCTCTGTAACGCCGCGATCGTAATGTTAGATCAGTTGCGCCCTGTGAGGTAAATTAACCTTTGCGGTTGTACGGCTAGGCTAGGCCCTGCCATAAATTATTGCAGGACTAGTTTATATTAGCGGGGACAGGAAGGACGAATGGGTGAAGACAATGTCAAAGTTTTCGGAGGATAGCAAAACATGCGGAGGTAGTTATCGCCGGATGACAATCGATTAATATACGATCAGTTTGTAGTGGGGGGAAAAGGTTATATTACAATATAGTTGAAACAGTGGTTGGTGATAGCTCTCATTGTAGGGCCTAGGCAACTACAGATGCTTTCGTGTTGGTGTGACATTAGATAAAATCAATTAAATACATCCACTCACTACATAGACCCACATGCTACTTAAGATCTATTGACTACATCAGGGGTCGGCAACCTTTTGAAGCGGAAGAGCCAAAGTTACAATTTTCAAAATTTCCCTGGTTTTAAAGAGCCACTAACATTTTTTTTATTTCAAATATTTTATTTTTTTATTAAGATTATTAGTATTTGTGCAAGGAGCTGGAGAGCCGCATCTTGATATCAAAAGAGCCGCATGCGGCTCGCGAGCCGCAGGTTGCCGACCCCTGGACTACATAACAATACATTTTTCTACGGGAAGGGAGCGGGTGGGCACTTTAAACTTGAGGGGGGGGGTTAAATTGTTTAAGGTGTTGCCATGGTAAAGTTCATGCTTGTTTAAAAGTTTCAAGTGCGAACCCTGGGGCAGGTGAGGTTCTATAGCTGGAAACAGCAACATATGTATAAGAGAAAACTCCAAAATCAAACAACTGCTGCCTTGTAGTCTGTTCTTGGTTGGACAAAGGCTATGGAAGCTAATCCAAGAAGAAGAACAGGAAATCCCTCCAACAGTACAATTAAGAACGAACACGAAGACGAACTGTTTACAATCATTATTTTTTTTTATTACAAATATTAGATTAAAAAAAAATTGACTGGTAGGATGTGAAGTCTATGAAATGGTTTGGCCAAAATTGTTCTTTTGTTTTTATATAACAGTTGGCACGATCCATCATTGTGTACAGAGTTTCTTCCAGGCATCTCTTCGGGGCGAAAATTTTTTACCCCCCCCCCCCCGAACGAAATGAAATTTATATAATTTATATAGAAAATATATATTTTTTAACAGTGTC